TGTCCTCAAGCAGCAGAGTAGGTCTGTTTTGGAATCAGGCAGTCATGGGTTCAAATCCCGGTTTTCCTCACTGTGACTTAGACAGGTAGTGTCATCCTGCCGAGCCTTGGTTTCCTCATCTGTAGCATGGAGATGGGGACTTGTACTCTGCAGGCTGGGACAAGAACCACTGTGCGCTTCCCAGAGTGGCAACCCTCCGGACGAGCACAGTTATGAGTGAGAATGGTTTTACCAAATGCTGTGTTTCCTTAGGCCCTGAATCCCAGGGAAGTGGGGCTGGGACAGGGGATTTTTCAGCTTCTACAGCTAGAGAGGGAGGACCATGGGATGAGACCAGGGTGTCCAGCAGGGGCGGGAATGGGGGAGGTACACTTCACTCCTTCCCATCCGGCTAGGTGAAACCTGCCTTAGCTTGTCAGGGACTGCATTCTTCCAGAGGGCCAGGACTCTCGAGGATATCACTGACTTCCTGGCTTTAGGGCCCAAAGGACTGTGGCTGTGGTTTCCACTTTAGGACATTGTGGAGGAAACAGCTTCACACCTGCAAAGCTGTGCGCAGTGGCAGATGCCACTCCTGGCGCTGGTCTCGGGGAGCTGCAGCGGTGGCTGGGGGAGGTTAACCTGGGTTTCTCTCTCTCTCTGCTCCTTCTTCAGCCACTCTAAGCTGTCCTGTTCCTTTACCAGGGGCCTTACCCATATGTGCGCAGCTTGGCAGCAGCAGCACAGTACGGCCCTGGTGGAACACAGTGACATTCGTGGTCTTAATTATGTCTGGGGGACCTGGAGCCCTGGGGCTTTGAGGGGGCTGTCAGAACAGGGCAAGAATCCCACTGGGAGAGGTGGTGAAGGGGCAGGGCCAGGCTGGCAGGATGGCACCAGGGAAGGTGCCAGCCTGCTGTATTTGACAGGGACAGTGTTTGCTGAAGACTATTCTGCTCTGTGGCCTGTGTCTCTGGCTTCCTTAAAGTGATAATATAGAATATTAATTGCAGCAGCCACTCCCACTGATACAGGGTGACTTTGAGTGAGCTGGCTAGGTGCTTTGACACATAAGAGCTCGAGGAATCCTTCCAATGAGCCTAGGAGGTTGATATTATTAATACATTTTATGGATGAAGAACCTGAGCTGGGGTGAGGCTCAGAGAGGTCCAGTCACTTCCCCAGGGTCACACAGCAATCCAGGACAAAGCAAGGATATGGTCTGTCTGACTCCAAAGTCCACCCTTTTTATTTATTTTTATATATTTTTTGAGACGGAATCTCACTCTTTTGCCCAGGCTGGAGTGCAGTGGCGCTATCTCGGCTCACTGCAACCTCTGCCTTCTGGGTTCATATGATTCTCCTGACTTAGCCTCCCAAGTAGGTGGGATTACAGGCACACGCCATCACTCTTGGCTAATTTTTGGATTTTTAGTAGAGATGGGCTTTCACCATGTTGGACAGGCTGCTCTTGAACTCCTGATCTTATGATCCGCCTGCCTCAGGCTCCCAGAGTGCTGGGATTACAGGTGTGAGCCACCGAGTCTGGCTAGTCCACCCTTTTTATTAAGTTACACTGGCTGTCATCGTGATGAGCCCCCAGCCTGCCAACACTGTAAGGCACTACCCGCAAAGCCCTTTCACTGTCACCCTGGATCTCAGAAGCTCCCTCTGGAGCCAAGCCCCTGAGAGTGACTCTCCATGTCACGCCACTGAGAGTCATCACTTCCAGCATCACCCAGCGTGGTCCAGGGCCCTCAGAAGCCACAGTCTGGGGAAGGGGAAGCTCAGGGTACCCCATGCCCAGGGACTGCACCTGGGCAGAGGTTAAGGGGTCAGGCAGCACAAGTCCCCTTTCCATCTGCTTCTCAAGGCCTGGAAGTACCCCGGGGTGCAGGGCCCTTGTCTGTCTGAGCCCTTCTCCGCAGCACCCAGGAAATGCCAGGACCTTTGCCCAGTGCATCTTGCTTGCTCACCCTGCAGATGGGCCTGGTTGCACCCCTCCTGCAGTGTGAAGGTGGAGGACACCTGTGGGTCCGGGGGAAGGGACCACACATGTGTGTGGCCTGGTGTGGAGGGAATTTCCCCCTCCCTGGGTTTGTGTGTCTGTGGGAAGGAGTTTGCATAAGGAGCGGGGTTAAGGAGCTGAGTCAGGGCTCAGGGATTTCTATCGCAGTCAAGGACAGAAACATTTCAGCCACAGAAACACCGACCTCCCTTCCTCTGTTTTCGATTGGCAGAACCAACCCAGGGGAGGCTATTGCCATTTCATCTCAGGGGCTCTCAACTGCAGAAAGTTTCTACTGTCTCCTATGACCCAAGGGCTTGGAACTTACCACCTACCCCATCCCATAGCCTGGACTATATGGCATCCTGGATGGCATTTGCGAATGTACACACACACACACACATATACACACACGAGCAAAGAGTCAGATTACTACAGACATGCACATCTGAACACATAACCAATACATGCATGTGCACACACTTGCACATACTTGAATGCCCACACATATAAACATGCAATGCAAGGGCATACATGTGCACTCATGCTTAGGCTTACAACACACATGTTATTTCTGATACACAGGTGAGAGGCAGACTGGCAACAGAAACACACACCCAAGCACACATGCATTCATGCAAACACACACACACAAATATCTTGTGCACACACCGGCACATATACACACTTGTTCTCTCCCAGACACACATGAACAAAAAGGCCAACCAACCCCCACACATACATTTGCACACCCATGCACACACATTTGCACATATGCATGCACACACACACACATGCAGTCTCTCTAGGGACCCAGCCACAGCTTCCCCCTGCCCTCTGGACTCTCAGCACTGACTAGACGAAGCTCCCAGGGAGTCCTCCAGCCGGCTGACAGCTGCCTGAGATCCATCATTTTAATTCAGGGCTTTTTCTGCTCCTTGGAGTAAGTCGAGTTGCCGTTAGTGCTGATTTATGGGGACAATCCATTCTCCACTTTTGATTATGGTTGTTTTCCATAATTATCATAAACACTCTTTGCTTCACTTGAGATTTTCTTTTAGATTTCTCTCCTGCACTTCTCTTGAAGTAGCAAGCTCTCTCCTGTGCTAACTTAGAAGGATGCCCCCATGGGCTCCAGAAGAGAGGGTGACTTTTGGCTCATGCCTGAAATCCCAGCACTCTGGGAGGCCGAGGCAGGTGGATCACGAGGTCAGGAGATCGAGACCATCTGGCTAACACAGTGAAACCCCGTCTCTACTAAAAAAAAAATTACCAAAAAGAATTAGCCAGGTGTGGTGGCACACCTGTAGTCCCAGCTACTTGGGAGACTAAGGCAGGCAGGAGAATTGCTTGAATTCGGGAGGCGGAGGTTGCAGTGAGCTGAGATCACGCCACTGCACTCCAACTTGGGTGACAGAGCGAGACTCCATCTCAGAAAAAAAAAAAATTCAGGCCTCTCTAAGGATGGCCACCCTCTCATGTCCCACAGTACAACTGAGGGCTTCTCCTAAGAAAACCCAGAATGAAACAGCCATCATGTGCCCATTTCTAGAAGACAGCAGATATTTTAGGAAGGGGGTCAGGGCTGGGAAGGGAACACTATGTCTTGGGGAAAGAGTGTCAGCTGGCACTCTAGGACCCTGGGATGCCCTGGGGTTCTTCTGAAGCTGTCTTTCCTTCCTCATCAGAGGGTGATCCTCTGGAACTGGCAGCACTGGGGAGAAGGCTGTTACCCCAAAAGTCTTGGTGAGGGCCTCCCACTTCACTCTCTGCCCACCCGGCCTCTCTGGGAACCCTGATCCATTCCTCATTCTCCTCTCCGTGTTTCAATGCCCATCATGAGGCACCTCCCTGCACACCTGGAATATCATGGGGGCCCCCAGGCTGTTGTCACTCCAGGGCTGAGCAAGTTGGAGGATAGAAAATAAAAGTCAGAGCTGGGCACAGTGGCTCATGCCTGTAATCCCAGCACTGTGGGAGACTGAGGTGGGCAGATCACTTGAGGTCAGGACCTTGAGACCAGCCTGGCCAACATAGTGAAACCCCATCTCTACTAAAAACACAAAAAAGTTAGCTGGGTGTGGTGGCACATGCCTATAATCCCAGCTGCTTGGAAGGCTAAAGCAGGGGAATCGCTTGAACCAGGAGGTCATGGTGAGCCAAGATTGCAGCACCGCACTCCAGCCTGGGTGACAGAGCAAGACTGCCACAAAAAGAAAAAAAGGAGGCCGGGCGTGGTGGCTCATGCCTGTAATCCCAGCACTTTGGGAGGCCGAGGCGGGTGGATCACGAGGTCAAGAGATCGAGACCATCCTGGTCAACATGGTAAAACCCCGTCTCTACTAAAAATACAAAAAATTAGCTGGGCATGGTGGCGCGCACCTGTAATCCCAGCTACTCAGGAGGCTGAGGCAGGAGAATTGCCTGAACCCAGGGGGCGGAGGTTGCGGTGAGCCGAGATCACACTCCAGCCTGGGGAACAAGAGCGAAACTCCGTCTCAAAAAAAAAGAAACAAAGGAGAAGAAAAGTCCCAGAGGCCCTGGGAAGTCTGCCAAGAAGACTGTTGTAGCTGGAGAAGCTCAGGCGGCCATTCTGAAGACGCCCCTTCCCATGTGTGAGGCGGACCACAGAGGAGGCACTCGAAGCAGGGGCAAGGCCCTTTTGGGAACACAAATCAGCTGGTCCCATTTAAAGGACACAGACGAGGCCATCCCTATCTGGAATGAATGAAAAGCGCCAAGGAGCTCTTGACTCTCGGGACATGTCATGGGGTCACAGGGTCAGCAGACGTGCATGGGACTTACAGCTGTGTGACCTTGGAGAGGGCCAGCTACCTCTGCAGGCCTTGGTTCTACCAACTGTAAAACGAGCTCGCTGGCGGGAAGTGGCACCATCGGCACTAGTGGGTGCTGATGGCCACGATGGGATCTGGCTCTGCCCAGGGTGTGTCTGGTGGATGCTGCCCGAGCAGCACAGTCCCCCCACATGCCTCCAGGTCCCCGTTGTACTCACAGGCCACCTGGACTTCAGTCTGCCGCTGCAGCAGGGCCCCCATCCGGTTCCGCACGATGCAACGGTAGAAGCCAGCATGGGTGCGGTCCAGGCTGGTGATCATGTATCTATGGGACAGACGAGACAGCCAGTGAGGAAGTCAGGCAGCTGCAGGGGTACAGAGGTCACACTGGGCTTAGAGGTCACTGGGTCACCCTGTTTTGGAATAAAAGTTCTAGGAAACTCTTGACTCTCTGGCCATGTCATAGGATCACAGAAAGATCTTTATCAATAAATAGGAGGGATCCTCCCAAAGCCAATGAGGTTTTTGCTCAGCCACCCTGGAATTAGCCTGTACTTCTCCAAGCACAGAAGGTGCTGCGCCCAAATCCTTTACCCTGACCTTGGGGCTGTGTTAGCTCTGTTGGAAGCAGCTGTTCTCCCTGACCTGAGATTCAAATGACTGAGAAAGGTGGGGGCATTTGTTTTTTTGTCTTTGCAAAGAACTGTGCTATAAATATTAGTTGAAATGGATGGAGGTGACAAAGACAAAGAAATTTACATGTTCCCCAAAATGCTCAGTATCATTCCTTCCTTAAAATTACATACAGCTCCTGATATGGTTTGGCTCTGTGTCCCCACCCAAATCTCATCTTGTAGCTCCCAAAATTCCTAAGTGTTGTGGCAGGGACCGGGTGGGAGATAACTGATTGATCAGAGAGGGTCTTTCCCAAGCTGTTCTTGTGATAATGAATAAGTTTCATGTGATCTGATGGTTTTATAAGGGGATTTCCCTGCAAAGCTCTCCCTCTTTGTCTGCTGCCATCCATGTAAGGCGTGACTTGCTCCTCCTTGCCTTCTGCCATGATTGTGGGGGCTCCCCAGCCACATGGGACTGTGAGTCTATTAAATCTCTTTCTTTTGTAAATTGCCCAGTCTCGGGTATGTCTTAGCAGCATGAAAACAGACTAACACAGCTCCACTGTGGCTTTTGGGGTTGGTGGGGGTGGGCAGAGCCTTCTGAACGAGACAGGCCAGTATCCTGTGGGCTCTGGGGACAGGATACAGGACCCCTTGAAAGCCAACTCCAGACACTTGTTACCCGCAAAGCAGCAGACTCTGGCATTGTGGGACAGGTGGCTGGGAGCAGGTGTATGTGCACTCACCTAGCTGAAAGGCAGGTCAGTCAGAGGAGTTTCTGACAGTGGGACATGAGTGGATGGAGGGGACCAGGGATCAGGGGCTAGTTCCCCTGGTTTGACCTTGGTGACCACCTTTCCCATCCCTAGGTAATGGTCCCACAGGACACTCAGAGGAAGAAGGGATATCCTAGGATATCTCTCCACAATTCTTGGGTATCCTAGGGTTTGCCCAGCTGACCTGGTGGACAGGTTCCTTGATGCCTGCCCCTAGGGTATCCCTAGGTGTGCCAACCCTGGGATGCAGCAACCTTATTCTGGGGAGATGCCAGTTTTGTTTTATTAACACATGAGATCTGGCTAGGGCCTGTCATCATCATCTTTCCAGAGATGAAATGACAACCATCCCTTTCAGAGCACCATTTCTGCATCAGACACTGTATTAAGTACTTTTCATATGTTTCCTCATTTCACGCAGCAGTTCCCAGACTATTGAGTATTGTGAACCAGTAACACTGAAAAATATGGGATCAACATGGGACTGTGAACTTCTTCCTTCACCAGGATTCTTAAAACCAACCAACCAGAATGCAAACAATCAGGCAACAACAAAAACCTTCAAAAAGGATAACAGTAAAAAGTGCCAGGAGAGAAAAATAAATAGAAATGGTCAGCAATTAATTTAAAAAGGACATTTCTGAGATGGCAAAAAACCCCCTAATCGCAGCATAAAGGCATTTTTTAAACTTTTGTTTTCTTACTTATTAAAAAAAACTTTTCAAAAAAGGAGATGGGGGGGTCTTCCTATGTTGCCCAGGCTGGTTTTGAATTCCTGGGCTCAAGCCATCCTCCTACCTCTGCCTCCTGAAGTGCTAGGATTACAGGCGTAAGCCACTGCACCCAGCCAATTTTAAACAAATTTTTAAACTTAAATTTTACACAAAGCTCATTGACCCTAGCCTGATTTTTACGAGGACAGTTGCAAACTGTCATGGCTCAGCATTTGAGAGCTTGTGACTTAATCTCCACACTAACCCTATTGGCACCTTCCTTCTAGAGATGGAGAAGTTGAGTCTCAGAAATACCTTGTTAGTAACCTGTAAGTTTCACACACTGTAAGAGGCAAAGTCCAACAAAGCCTTTCAGACTCCAAGCCTGGCTGTGAAGCTGAGGTCACATCCCTAGGGCCCCACCCTCCATCCTGGGTCTGTGCAGGCCTGACTCAAGCTGGCCACGTGCCAAGTTTGCTCTGGCTCTGCAGCATTTTCCAGAACCTTCTGGCTGCCCAAGCCCCTTATCGCCGCCACCGGCTGCAGCTCTTATCTATCTCTTGCTACTGTGCGCAGCGTGATTGCGGGGAGACAGCAGTGCCCGACCTCTGGCAAATCTCTCTTCCTCCTTTTACCTCGTCTTCAAATCCACCCTCAGACCTCTCCCCTGCTTGCTGCCCATCTCTCCCAAGGCGCGGGGAGGCTGCTATGGAGGAACCGCCTTGGTCTTTAAAGCGGTGGGGTGACCATAGAGGGGAGATGGAAGAAGAGGTGGGCTGGAAAAGCTCTCTGCCTTTGGAAATGAAATCAGATATTATTAAAAAGCACTGGAAAGAGGAAAAGAAATAGAAATGGCTGATAAACTCATGAAAAGATGCTCAACTTCCATCACAGTGAAAGAAATTCAAACCAAGACGATAAGACCATGTTTGCCTGGCAGATAGTCCAAGAGTTTCAGGTGTGGTCAAACCCAATGGAGTCAGGAGTGAGGGGGTGGGGAAGCTGTACCAACAGGGCTGTTGGTGATACTGGAAATTGGTCCAGACTTTGGGGAAAAAAAATCTATGGAAGTTAGAATATGCCAGCTTTTTGACTCAGAGGTTGTGTTCTGGGAGCTGGCCTTTCATTTATTTATAATTTTTTTGAGATGGAGTCTCACTCCTTCGCTCAGGCTGAAGTGCAGTGGTGCAATCTTGTCTCACTGCAAACCTCTATTCAACAGGTTCAAGCGATTCTCCTGTCTCAACCTCCCAAGTAGCTGGGATTATAAGCACCTGCCACTATGCCCAGCTAATTTTTTTTTTTAAGTAGAGATGGGGTTTCATCATGTTGGCCAGGCTGGTCTCGATCTCTTGACCTCGTGATCCACTGGCCTCCGCATCCCAAAGTGCTGGGATTACAGGTGTGAGCCACTGCACCCAGTGAGCTGACCTTTTAGACATACTAGCAATTATGTGGCAAAAAAAAAAAAATGTGCAAGGATATTCATTATAGCATTTGCTTGTCCTCACAGCGATAAACAAAAGCTGGAAGCAAACTAAATGTCCATCAAAATGGAACTGGATCAATAAATGATGCGGCAGCCACAGATTGAACACATGTATGGGAGGAAGTAGGAAGGTCTCCAAGACCCACAGAGTATGGAAAGAAAGTCAGAGCTGGGGAGGAGGGAAGTTTTGTGAATAAAAGCACGAGGTAGTAAGATGCTAAACAATCTCATAAGTTGGCTGTTGCGACGAGAATAATATATTCTTATTGGTGGTTGTTCTTTGATACAGGCTACCAAACCCTTAATATTTTTCCATCATGCAAACTGATCCAATAAAAACCCCTGCACTTTGGGAGACCGAGGTGGGTGGGTCACTTGAGGTTAGGAGTTCAAGACCAGCCTGGCCAGCATGGCGAAACCCCGTTTCTACTAAAAATACAAAAATAAATACAAAAATTAGCTGGGCATGGTGGTGCATGCCTGTAGTCCCAGTTACTCAGGGGGTTGAGGCAGGAGAATCACTTGAACCCAGGAGGCAGAGGTTGCAGTGAGCTGAGATTGCACCACTGCACTCCAGCCTGGGCGACAGACTCCATCTCAAAAAAAAAAAAAATTAAATTTGTTGCAAAAATGCAAAAAAAAGAATAGTGTGAAGACATGATATTATTTGTTATGATGTCATTTGGGTAAATTGAAATAGTACATATATTTCTGTGTATGTGTGTGTACAAATACACAAGCACAAACACACTTATAACCACACAAACACACTGGAAAAGGCATACAATTTTTTCAAGACGGATACTCCAGAATGTGTTATCTCCCTTTTGGGAGAGGTACCCAGTATGGGGAGGGAGGAAACTTCTATTTTTTGATTTTATGTCTTTCTATGCCATCAGAATTTTCTTTATCGTATGCATAGTTTGCTTTTATTTTAAAAATAAAATAAAAAGATGCACATTGTGTATGTAATTTAAGCATACATTATAAAAAAGGCACCAGGGGCTCATTGGATCTGGATTTGTTTGCCGATGTCAGTGAAGCGTGGTGAAATTTCAACTTTAATAAAAGTCCATTCCGTTTTTATTTTATTATTTTTATTTTTTAGAGATAGGGTCTCATTTTGTCACCCAGGATGGAGTGCAATGGCGCGATCCTAGCTCACTGTAACTTCAAACTCCTGGGCTCAAGCAATCCTCCTGCCTCAGCCCTCTGAGTAGCGAGGACTTGTCTCTTTGCTTCGCCAGGAACTCCCAGGTCCCAGTTAGGGCCTCATTAGGGTCAGGAGGAAGGCCCATGGGCGGATGGCCCATCTCCTGCCCCCAGGTGTCCCTCTGTCCCCCTCTGCGGTTGAGGGCAGGTACTCCCTGCCCCCGCAGCGCGGGCACAGCCTCTCTCCTGCTCCTCCCGCCTCCATCTCTTTGGGCTGTCTCTTTAGGTGCTCCCTGCCTGGGAGACCTATTTCTGGCTTGTAGGCAACATTATTTAAAGTAACAGTTCCGCCCACTGCCTTTCCTACCAGGGAAACCCACTTCACTCCACCCAAATTGCAGCTCTTGTCTCCCTGCCTCCCAGGCGGGTGGAAGAGGCATCTGGCCAGCTTCTTGGTTTGTGCGTCCAGCGCACTGTAAGCATCTCTGATAATGACAGTAACGGCACTCATTATCCCCATGGTGCTCCCTTCTGGGCCACCAGGACACACTGAGCCCACAACTCTGCCTGTCCCACTC